GTACATCGTGAAGTGTCACGGGACCACGCTGCTGCCCCGGTTCCTGGGCATGTACCGGGTGAGCGTGGACAGCGAGGAGACCTACCTGCTCGTCATGAGGAACATGTTCAGCCACCGGCTCTCCGTGCACAGGAAGTACGACCTCAAGGTAACGGGGCGCCCACCCCATCGCCCCAGCCTTGCTGTCCCGCCACGGGGGCCCCCCCTAAAGCTGCTAGAGGCTTGGAGCTGAGACAGAGCCCCCAAATCAGCCCGTGTCCTTGGGTCATCCATGCCTCCTGCTTCTCCATGCTCTCCATCCCTGGGTGGATTTAACCAACTCTGTTGTCCCCTCCTTTGTCCCCTCTGCCAGGAGCGCTGATTTTTCCCCCCAGCCTAACACAGCTTCTGCTTTTCCTCCAGGGCTCCCTTGTGTCCCGTGAAGCCAGCGACAAGGAGAAGGTACCACGGCACAGTGACGTGGGCAGGATGGTGCTGGGAGCCTCCAGCCTGGGGAGGGGGAACCGGGGCAGTCCCAGGCTCGTTATCAGCCTGTCCCCAGCCTCCACTTAACGATGAGGCTGCAGCTGTGGAGGGAGAGCTGATCCCTGCAACCTCCTGAGGAACCGTGGAGGCAAGGTGCCACCACGCTCGTCCCCAGGGAGTCCCTGTTATCCGTGAGCCTCCAGGGTCCCCCATCAGGGCGGGGAGGACCCCACTGGTTTCTTGGAGTGGGGAGGGGGCTCCCCACAGCCATAGTGGGACCGCAGGGGCCCGTCCCACATGTTCGTCTCGCCACAGGGCAAAGACTTGCCCACACTGAAGGACATGGACTTCCTGAACAAGAACGAGAAGGTCTACGTGGGCGAGGAGGACAAGAAGGACTTCATGGAGAAGCTCAAGAGAGATGTGGAGGTGGGTGAGGGGGCTCCAGGCCAGAGCCGTGGTGCCCGGACAGGGGCTGGGTGTTTGGGGAGGGGGTGGCCACCTCTCACTAGGGCAGTCACGAGGGTTGGTACCCCCCTCCCAAAAACCGGCTGCCGGCCAGGGGTTCTCCATGTCCCTTCCTGTGATCTCCCCCGTGTCGCCAGTTCCTGGTGCAGCTGAAGATCATGGACTACAGCCTGCTGCTGGGCATCCACGACGTGGCGCGGGCAGAGCAGGAGGAGGAAGAGGAGGTGGAAGAGGAGGAGGGCGGGGGCGACGAGGCGGGGGCCGCCATCGTGGGCTCCTACGGCACCTCCCCGGAGGGCATCGGCAGCTCACCCCACC